CTAACAGTTTTTTCTGCAAAAAATTTGAAAGATTGATTTTACAAGAAAACTCGTCGTCTTTATAGCTTGGTCTTGACTTTTGGTATCGTTCTCAAATACCCGTTTTACCTTTAAACATTTGGGACAAAAAGTTATCTTACTGTTTTTTCGAAAAAATTAAAGTTTTCCCAATCAACTATTTGGAAAACTAGTCACCCTCATCCCTCTGAAGAATTTTTAATCTTCAAATTTTCCGGATTTTCTCGTTATAGACCAAAAACCAAAGGAGACTTTTCAAACGTCTTCTTTGGGCGTATTTTCAATCAAWCAAAAATTTTTGGGAGTTGGCGCAGTGCTGCACAAATTACTTGGTGCGCCTAAGTAACTCAGCTCAGTTGCTGRGWAAATGTTGATAACTTTTTTACTAGTTTTTAKATTTATTTTAAGGCCTTTTATTAATAATATTTTTCAAAYGYCTTCAAAATTTCAGGATTTTTCAGTTTTAGCAAAGTTAAAAAGTTTTSAAATCCYTCTACAGCTCCSAATTTGGGACCAAATTAAACTGTGATTTTTTAGTTTTGACTGATTTTTTTTCTTRATATACTTTCTACTCTAAAACGCTCTATTTTGTAGAGTTTTTACTAGAGAATTTTATAAAAACTTGTTTCAGCAATGAATTTGGGACAAAMARTTTTGTTTTTTTCATTTTCATAAATTTATTTATCCATTTATTTATTAAGCTCAAAAAACCATTGTTTGCTGATGCGTTGTTCATTTTTTTTATTCATTTCATTTTCTGATGACAATCATGCCGTCGGTCCTTTCAGCCAAAAATGACAAATTTAATTTTGTTAGAAAATTCGCCTCATTCATCGCGTTGCAGGGAATTTTTGAAAACCCTTTGCGGCTTCGAATTTGGCGCAAAACACAAAAAAAATGATTTAGTTTTTTTCCGAAAGAAATTAAGATTATCTTGAAATAACAAATACAGAACAAAAGTGTACAAAAAAATATTTGGAAAATTTGCCACCTTCATTGCTCTGAACATTTTTAAAGTTTCTTTAAAATTTCAGGTCTATCCAGTTTTAGCAAAGTTTTTCCTAGGCAATTCATTCTACGAAAAAAACGCATTATTTTCTAAAGTTTTGCTTAAAAATATATATAAAGACAAGCTTCAGGAATTTTCATGTGAAAAATTATAAAATACCTTTTATTGAAACACTCGCTTGCTTAAACGCTTTGTACACATTTTTTGAAAACTTTTTACAGCTTCGATTTTTGAATGAATTGGATGATTTTGAATAAAACGATTCTCAATTTTTCCTGGGTTTTTTTCCAAATATTTTCTCGAACAGAACAAGCGAAAGTTTATAATCAATTATTTGGAAAACCCGCCACCGTTCACTTTTGGGTCAATATTTCTTCAAAACTTTCTCTAAACAGAAAAACGCTTTTTTTCTAACGCTTTACTGTAAACTACTGGCAAACTGAGAGTCTTTTATGCAAAAAAATGAAGAGATCGGTTTTACAAAAAAACTCGTCGTCTTTAAACTTTGGTTTTCTTAATAGTCTTTTGCGAATACCTTTGAATTTAGAACAAAATCGAAACAATGTTCTCCTGGATGGAAACATTCAAGTTTTCCAAAAACCGATCAGAGAAATTAATATAATCAACTACAGTTGAGTCCGGATATAACGAACTTGAAAAATGAACTAAAACTGGTTCGTTATATCCGGAGTTCGCTATAAGCGGATAATAATACAAAAAGACGTGGTGTATTTTATTTCGTTAGTTTTACATAGAGTAGTAGAAGTTAGTAGGTATGACTAAAAAGAACACAAAAAGATAAACAAAATTCAATTTGAAATCTACTTCATAAAGTCTGTAATTTTTGTTTGTACATTTCTGCTGCAGAAATAGATGTTATTTATTTAGTTTTCAATATCACAAAAGGACTCCCAGATATGATTAGGAACTTGGCGTGATTGTAGCAAATTCCGAGTTTCGGACACTTTTTTTGTCATTTCAGAAATGGTTGGAACAGCATTAGTGTCTACAGTAGAATCAGTTTCACCTAAATCGTCATCTTTCTCATTATCGCTTAAAGCTGTAGATGAGGTTACGGAGTCTATAATTTGCTCATCGGTCAACATTTCTCTTGTA